TCAAATCTTGCTTCAATCAAGAGCAAACAGAATGGCTTTAGGTAATCCCCTCTTCTCTCACCGTTACTCTCCCCCCATGAATATGAACTCCAAATTACAAATCACCATTCTGCATCCCCTTTCTTATCCAACTTGCTAATTAAATGGAGTAAATAATGGAAATGTGTTCATTTTCCCTCCTTCCCAGGATATTTCCTATCTCTCAAACTGGCAAGAGAATGATGATAAAAGCTGCATGTGGAAATAATGCCAAGGATAAGAGAGGAAAAGGAGCAATGATAGCTAGATGTAAGAAAATATAAAACCAGCACAGCAGCTCAACACCAAACAAAAGGATAAGTTAACTTGTAGTAGACATCTGGCCTCATTCTAGTGGAGGCTGGTGCTCTGATGTCCATTGAGTGTCGAACCCATTCCAGATTTTAATCCTAACTTTAACAGAGCATTGAAAGGCTACCCAAATAGGTTCAGAATCTTGGAGAGCTCCTTTACAGTTCAGAGTAAAACCTGGAGCAGAGTCACTGGCCTCAAGACATTAGGGCCACCAGTTTCCACTATCTCATTCCTTACCTTCACTAAGAAAGTGAGGGAAATCATGCACTGGGCTACATCAAAGCAGGTTGCAAAAAGATTTTCAATCCAATAGCAGATTCTGTGCAGGAAGCAGGAGTTGCTTTTGCTGATTCCCACTTCTTCTGCAACCAATTAAGTAATTTCAGTCCTTTGATTGGGAATATGTGGCCTTCCAAGTGTTGTTGGAGTGGAACCTCCAGGATTCCTCACCATGGATTACCAGGGTAGGTTGGAGTTACAGTTCAACAATATTGGAAAGGCAACACTTTGCTCACCCCCTGATTTCACATCCTGGGCTTAGTGGTATTATGCTTCCCCTCCTGTCCTTCATATGGTAATGCTTCAGTACAAACACTGACCTAATACCTCTCTTATCTCCTTACTCCCTGCACCCTGTGTTTCTGTTTTCCTAATGTTAGGAAGTACCACCACCACCAACTGTTTATGAACTCTGATGTTGGAACCTGGATGTGTAAGATGAGGCTCTGTAGCACGGGGGAGAGAGTAGAGTTTCTTCATGTGCACAAAAGTATTCACTGGAGCAACAGCCCTTCTGTGTGTATAAGGACCCTGCTGGGTGCAACACATTGTCCAGAATCCTACTGGTGATTTATGGTTGTATGAAGGAAATGGCCTACTTATGGTGACAAATTGATGCTCGTTAATAAGATGCTGATTCTGTTCCTGGGCACGTACCCAACTGTGTGATTGCACGACCACCACCTCATTAATGAGCAGCAATTTGCCAGCACAACTTACACAGTTTTCATTATGGAAGTGGGATTTGGGACGTGTGTGTAAGACTATCTGCTGAAAATGGCATCTTTATACCAAGTTCTTTCCTCACCTCACACCTGTCATTTGTAAAATCACTGACCATGCTATGATGCCACCAAGGGCTTCCCCAACCCCTTGCTTACTGTCATTTGCTATTGACAGTAGATGGGGGCAAAGAAATGAATTTAGTGACAGCTTCCTGACATGAAGTATGAGGGGGAAACAAGGTGAGAATGTGACACAGAGGAAGCTAATTCTGGCAGAAGGCCCATCTTGATCATAAGGTGCAGCTCTACCTTTGGTGAATGTAAATTGGCCCTGCACACGTTGTGACTCAATGAGACAAATGTAAGTCACCAGCCCACTAGCATGCTGATAACTTCAGGATGAAAAGAAATCTATATTGGAAGTGTGCTGAATGTGTTTCAACACATGCTGTCTTCCTCAAAAATAGGTATCTTAAAAACCTGACTTATGCATGCAGTACCATGAGGTAAGAATATTGCATGGGGGCATCCAAGACTGAAGTGTTCCCACCTCAAGTCTGAAATAGTACAGTCCATTCCTCTCAGAATTTTTAATACCTTATTCTATGCACATTAGTGATGACTCAGAGACAAACTCCATGTTTAATATGTATCCTATGTAATTATAATTTCATTCAGTAACTAAAAGGGGGTAAAATTGTTGTGCCTGGGAAAAGATTTACACCTTTTTTCCCTAGCAAAGATTCTTCAAATTAACAATCTTTACCCAGATAGGAATCCTGAGGGGGGGGGAACCCATCCTCCCCATCAGTGCATATGGGAATTTTTTTGGCCCCTAACTTCCTAGCTCTCGCTCTCTCTCTCTCTCTCTCTCTCTCTCTCTCTCTCTGCATTTTCTGGAGAGTGGTATGACTTAGGAGTGAAGGAGTGAAATCTTCTCCATACTATGTGTGATCTTGTTAAGAATTAACCCTCTCATATATATAGGATGCCTCTAATTAATGAAACATTGCTGCAGGCTAGGTATTAAACCTCACGAGGAATTTGTCCCTCAGAATGCAGAGAGTGTGCATTCAAATTCTCAGTCACGTCCTCCATACTTTAAAATCTAAAGGTTAGATTATAAATCTAACTTCCTCTTCTGAGAACAGGGACTTCTCATAAATATTTCTGAAATTGCATTTAGAATTGATCACATATGTGCTAGGATAAATGTCTATTGGAAGTTGTATGGAAAATTGACCTGGTGCTCAGAGTGAAGAAAACCTGCAGCTAATTCTTCTATAATTTATTGACGATTTTTCCATGTCATCTCTTCTCATACATACCTATTGGCTTTTGTATTCACAACGCCAGCCAATAAGGATAAGATATGGAATTGTTATTGGCTTTTCAGTTTCTTACTATAAAAGGCATTGATTGAACATGTGCATTCTATTTTAGTTGCTCCCAAGGGATGATCTTGATCAATATACTTTTTTTAAAAAAAATACTTAGGTCTATTTCCTAATTGGATTAGAACATAACTAATAGAGCCTCGTGGTGCAGTGGTTAAACTGCTGTAGTGCAGCTAAAACTGTGCTCATGACCTGGGGTTCAATCCCAGGTAGCCGGCTCAAAGTTGACTCAGCCTTCTATTCTTCCAAGGTCGGTAAAATGAATACCCAGTGTAGCCTGCATATCTAACTTGTAAACCGCCCAGAGAGTGCTTGAAGCACTATGGGGTGGTATATAAGCAGCACGCTTTGCTTTGCTTTAGTATTCGCATGTTAGAACATCACTACTGTTCTTAAATACTTCTAAGATAACTTGACCATTATATTTATATTTTTTTGCTGTACTGAAAAGAATGTCAATGATACACCTGTCCTTTTGATAGGCCAGAACTGCCCATGTTTCTTTAGTTAGTGTTAGAAAAATAAGTATTTGGAGGATTCTCCTGGCTGGGCTTTTATTACTAAATCAAAGGTATTGGACAAATTGCCCAGAAACAGCAGCAAGATGTAGAATAGAACTCAGGAACAGATGCAGAAATCTGTTCCTGGGTTCACATTTCAACTGTTTGGTCTATGTGCTTTTTTTTTGGCTTCTTCATTTGCACAGATGGGTGAGAATACAGTCCAGCCTCAGCACTAGACATCTGTAGCTTTAGATACCTTTGAGATACCAAAGAACAGCAGACATACAGCTGTGCTCTTCCCTTGATGTTAAGAAATGCTTCAAATAAAGAGAAGCATACATCAATGCCATTTATGAAGTCCTGACAACGCTGAGGAAATATTTCTCCCTGGGACCCTGAGAGAAACTAGTTAGGTTTTCCTGGAATAGGAAGCAGCTGCTGCCAGTCCCTGGGCTCTCTAAGCCAGGACATTCTTAATCTCTCAGTTTTTTTTCCAAAAGAAAAGAAGTGAATATGGAGAGAGTACTGCTTGTGATGGAAGGAATTCCCAGCAGACAACTTTGGAAAGTAACTGTGGCATCTGGCTCACAACCATGTACCTCAGAGTGACCTTCCAGTAGATTTACTTGCTTAATAGAGAAGCTGGAATAATTAGTTGTGACATGGTAGAAGACAGAGATTTGTAATCATTTTACATAAAGGCAGTGGGTGAATAATGAAAATAAAAAATAAATGGATTTTCAAAACAAGTAGTCTAAGTTTAAAACATTCCTCCCCTTCTTCTTAAATTTGGTCAGTAGCCATGTCAGGAGAGGAAATGGGAAGCAGAGCCATTTTAGCGTTCCTGATGAAAAACAATGCCCTTTCCCCTTCTTTCCTCAATATCCCTTGTTTTTTCAATGTCATGTTGCAGGCAGGAAATGTCTTGTTTTTCTTGATTCTATGGAAGCAGCTCCTACCCTTTTGACAGGGGAGTGAAATCAAAATGTAATAAATGGTGTTATAATAATATATTTGTATTTTTGAAAAATATTGAAATAGCACTACATTAAGTAATATGCAACACTTTTGCAAAAGTCACAGTGTGTCTCATTAGACAAGAGCCGTATCATTATTTTTCTTTTATGCTCCAATTTCTTTGACAACACAGAAGGCACAAGAAAGTAGATATTTTATAACATTGACTTATTTTCTGGACATGAAACTCCTAGTCAGTTTTCCTCAGAATATAATGTGTCCATTCAACATGTGAAAAAGAATACCATCACACAGTGCAGTCCTAACTGAAAGGTGCACCATGTGTGTGTGTGTGTGTGTAGAAGGAGTGGTGTGAAGGAGGATTTAAGCTATGTCAGAGCTAAGCCCCTTTCAGCCCAGGGACACAATCACTGTGTCAGCACAAAGTTAGACCAAATTGGTAACAATCTTAAAGAATTTCCAACACTCCTCAGTTGAGAGGGTTTGGATTTAGCACAGCTTACTGGGCTACTATCAGCTCAACTGATTTTTGCTATTTAGGACTGCACCATAAGCTTTCATCTAGGCATGTGAAGCATTTACCAGATATCTGGCTGAGGGAGAAGACTGGATGAGAACTGTCAAGCATGGCAACGGTTTGCTAAGAGTTGGAGGGGGTTTGAGGAGCAATACTTAGCGAATGTTCAAGGTTGAGTGGTGAGCCTTATACTGTACACGCATGCACTGTTTCCCTCCTTGAATACCTTCTCCACACTTAAAAAACATTCTGTTTTTGTTGATTACAGGAAACTGCGGTCATGGCACAATTCTGAACATCAGCCAGCCCTATCTGATTCAATTGAACTGGAGGGGATTTGACTACAAATATGGTACCTGGGGAAGATATTCCTCTCCCCTCACTCCTGAAAAAGAACTCTACTGGGTTGCACCACTGAATACTGATGGAAGATACTTGGAATATTACAGACTTTATGATTCCTATGATGATTTATTGCTTTTCAAACAGAAAGGGCAATACAGAATTGTGTATGGTGAGGGTAGTGGTACAACTGTTTACAATAATTATATGTATTTTAATCAACATAGTTCAGGAAATATAGCTAAGCTAGATTTAAGCACAAACACTGTGGTGCTGAGGAAACTTCTTCCAAATGCTGCTTTTAACAATCGCTTTTCATATGCAGGTGTGTCATGGCAAGACATGGATTTTGCTGTGGATGAGAGTGGGTTGTGGGTCATTTACTCAACGGAAGCCAGCACAGGCAATATTGTGATCAGCAAGCTTAATGAAACATCGCTTGATGTGCTTGATACATGGGAAACAAAACAATACAAGCCATCAGTGTCCAATGCTTTCATTATATGTGGGGTGCTATATGCCACGAGGCCTGTCAATACTAGAAAAGAAGAGATCTTTTATACTTACGATACAAACACTGGAAAGGAAGGCAGGATAAGTGTGATTATTGACAAAATGTTAGAAACAGTTCAGAGTCTTGACTACAGCCCTATAGATAGGAATCTTTATATGTTCAATAATGGCTACCTTGTTCGATATAGCCTGACTTTCCAACCTCTTTCACTGGTATAATTTTTCACAGATGCTTAAAACTAGAGTGGGGTGCAAGGGACGGGGGAGCCAGACATTCCGTCCTTTTGTAAATTACCGGCTGACCACAATGGTGCTACATTTGTTGGGGAAGAATTAATATCCATCATGGCGTGTGGTTTTTATTTGTGATAATGACACTTTTAAAATTTGGTGATTTCGACAGAACTTTAAGTTTTATATTTCCAGTGGGAATATAAAACGTCTTGAGTTTAGGTAAAGTGGGATATTCAGCACGGGTTATAATCTGTCTAGATCACCTTCTTTATGGGCTATGTGTATATTTACTGCTAGATAAAAAAAATCTATTGTTTTTTTAATTGAGAACAAAGGAAAATGTAAACACACCCTTTACAGAATAAATGCAAGTTTGCTGTGCGGGTTTAACACTCCTTTAAGGCAACACATCTGATATCACATTTCTCTAATCCTCTGTAAATCATTGCTGAGGGAAAGTCCACAATTGGAGGTGTATGTTTGTGTATGTGTGTGTGAATAAATGTGTATGTCACCAGAAACCTTTGTTGACTTGAGTGTTGCAGATTTTGTCTTTCTTGGGCTGGTTTGGGTAATAAGCCTGCAACCTATGAAGTCCCTTCACAATGTTATGAAGGGCCTATTATGCCACCTCTCTTCAACTATGGGACAACACACTGAAAGGAGAAATAGAGCACACAGCAGCAGGTCTGGAAGAGAGTGTCACCTCTCACAAGTATATCATCTGAAACTATGAGATATGTGACATGATTACTGCACAAGTGTGCAGCAATAGATATTGTGTGACAGCCCAATTTAAGCATTCCATAAGCCAATTCAAAAAAAAGGGGTGTATGCACCAAACAAAAAACTATAATGTATTCTCGAAGGCTTTCACGGCTGGGATCCAAAAAACTATAACTTTGAAATTGGACCTTGGATCAGGACCACATGGTTCTACCATTCATACTTGTTGAAAAACAGCCGAATGGTTGCTTTGTGTTTGGGTAAGAAGTAGTTATATGATGGAAAAAGAACTCAGCTTCTGGAATTTTCCCTTGTGTGGTGTCATGTTGTGAATGGGTGTGAGCACAAGAGGGTATCTTGTAGGCCATCGTGGTTTTTTCTATTGGTGGTGTCAACATTAAGGCTGCCCTTTGCTTTGTAAAGCTCAGTATCTTTTTTCCTGTTGGCATCACAGACACAATATTGTGCAGTAATATTGGGCCATGTCCTGGCATTTTATATTATAGGCACAGAAGCAATATCTCACATTGATGAACTAGGTGATTTTTGAAGAATTAAAATCATGTCATTGTTCAGAGATTGTTAGAAGTATCTCAAGGAAGGAAAACAGAAACAGAGATATGCTTTGTAAAATCATCTGGATAAGCTTTTAGGGCATCGTTCTGGTAATCTTCCTGTGAAAACCAGATTGAAATGAATGGGAGGTACAGAAGAATGCTACCACTCATTTCAGTAAGGTTTTCACAAACAAATCTCCAACTGGGTTGTGACCTTGGTGTCAACACAATAAGCTCTGTTATAGGGCATTATGTGAAACAGTCTTTTTCATTTCATTTTGCCATATTTAGCTAAGGATTAGATCAAAACCTTTGCCCTCCCACCCAGAATAGTGAGGCAAGATGCAGGTGATGTGGTAAACTAGGGACACAATTTATTGAAAACATATCAAGGAACATCTTGCCCTCAGACACAGGGGCCTGTGGTAGTGCAGGATCAGGTTTGGTACAAAAGGTCTCACCAAACCCCTTCACCAACCTTATATGGGTGAGTCCCATGCCCCGTTGTCGCATGTTCCTTAAGACAGCATGACCCCGGCCGGTGAAAGATCAAGCCCCTCTCCGAGCCTCTAAACTTTGGCAGCCCTCAGCCTGGGAACGGTCCCAGGACGTTTGTCCTCCCAGCATTGTAACCTCACAATCTGCAACACCTCAAGGTTGGACACACTATCACCTTCATTGTAGTCCATGGGCACTCACCGATCCTAGTTCCTTCCACACTACCTGCTATGGAATGGGGCTAGCCTAGATCTTTTTTTTAATAATTTTTTAAATTTTTTTTTTAACATAAGGGGACAAAGGAAAAAAGGGAGTTGGGATTTATGAGGAAGAGGGTAGACAATTGCATACTAATATCCAATCTATACCTATTGCCATGTCAAATTTTGAGTCCTTCTATTTACTCTTTTCTGCCTTGTATATAAAGTTCTCATTTCCATATTCAGCTACTGCCTGTTGATTCAGTCCATTTGTTGAATAAGTCCCATCTTTCTGTTGCCTTTTGCAGGGGTTGATCTTTCATGACTTCTGATAAGATATCCATTTTGGCTATTTCCCATATCTTTTCAATGAGGTCTTCTTGTTCCGGTACCATCGAACTTTTCCAGTTTCTAGCATACATAATTCTGGCTGCCGTGATAATATATATAACTATGTGTTCCTTTGACTTATCTATATTAT